AGTTGTATGGCAACATTAAATTTTGACCAATTAAAGCTGCTATACAAAGTGTCAACGCCTGCTAATTTTCACATCGTCCACTAATTGACAAAACAAAACGGAGAGCTATCCCAAGAGTCGTGAGCTATTTCCCCGCTCTATTAGCATGGTCAAGTGACCTCAGCCAATCGAGACTGTATGGAAGCAACGTTGATACCCGGGGTTGGGGGACTCCGCATATGAAAGGGGTGGGGATGGTCGTTGGAAATTTTGAAATAAACCCCTAAAGGAGACCGATCTGGGCGTGGCCAAAGCTTTTTTTGACCCCTAAAAGAGAGCATGTTCCTAGGAGGGTGATTGGGAGACCTTTCGACGATCCAAAAGGAAGATGGTGTGTTGGCGGTGGGATTAATGTTCCAGTAAAAATCAAAATGGAAGCAGCTCGAAGCTCGATCAAGGAATTAAAGGACGAACTATTAAAAGTGGGTATTATGGCAATAATCAAATAACACTGAAGCTTGTGAATATTTTTAGCCGTGAGCGAATGCAGTAATCGTTTTGTGTCAAAAGCCAAGTTTCGTTCCACACTCTTGTAAAACAATGGAAAAAGACGCCTTCTTTAAGTATTGATGTTATAGAAAACTTGGATTATATGAACGGAGTTAATAAAACGAATTAAAAATATACATATTAAATATATCTTTTTATATTTTGTCGCGTACAACCCTAAACGAGACCTTCACGGTTAAATATGAAGGCATTTTGCCCGGAACACTCTAAGTGAGACCAAAATCCGAAATTTACACCCCTAAGCGAGACGACGAGCATCCCCACCCTTTTCATATCTGGAGTTCCCCCCCGTCAGTTTTCTTTTGTTACAAGCAGTGCAGAGGTGCCAGGTCAGATGGCAATAAGTTAAGTAGGGCAATATGGCTGATTTATGCAAAGTTAATTTAGCATTGGTAGGAATGAGTTTTTTAGGCCTCACCATTACTCCGACCCTTTGACTCGCCCTCTTACATATTTCATTAATATGAATATTGAAATTCAACTGGTCGTCTATGGTGACACCTAACAACTTAAGACTGCCTGAAGATTCGATGGAGGGTCTGGATGGGGTTAACTGAAAACTGACAAATGGCCAAAATTTTAACTGACAACTGGCAAATAGCCGAAAATTGAACTAACTACTGACATTTTCCTTGGGTTTTGCTGTCAACTAACAAAGGGCCTGATTGTCCCTTAGTACAAAACTTGTTCCTAAGGCCTTAAATAGCATTGTTCCACTCTTTTCATCAACATCGCGCAGAATGCCTATTGTTCTCGGGACATTTACTTCCAGTTCAACAAAGTTCGTAGCCTATGAAAGCGCTTCAGCCATTGGTTGCCAAGAATGCACGACGAAATTCATTAATATGTTGTTGGTGGCAAACTAAACAATGAATGCAGCACGCTATATATTGTTTTCTCCTTTTAGCTCTTTTGTTTCGCAAAAATCGCAAATATGCGCATATTTCACAGTGAACGTTCAAATCAAGAGAATGCATACACTTTGCTTTATTTTGCCGGAATTTTGTCTAAAAGTTAAACCACAGAAAGAAAGATGAATTTTTCATTTATTTTAGCGCGTGCGAGACTTCTATTATGTCGTAAATAAACTCCCTGCGAGGAGAGTAAAATTGAGCTCGGAAGCCAGAACACTCGTCGCTGATTGTAATGTTTTGCTTCCGTCCGCCGTGGCTTGGATCTTTCGCCGAGATCGCCGAATGCTTTCCGCGATTGCGCGCCCAATACGATCTCGAGCAGGCTCCTTGAACTGGTAACCAAGCGGCTTGACACTCACTTGAAGTAAGTCGAACACTGTCGCCGGCTTCCCACAAATTTCTCTGCATCCGTAAACTTCTTCACCATGAATTTGCAGGTGGAACGTCGGGCTGTTTTCGTCAACAAATGGAGGAACCATATGAATTTGTAAAGGGTGGATCGGGTTTTCGAAGAGCTCTGAAAGAGCTCCCGATCCGTAACAGTTTCTTTTTCCATGTTCATTGCAAGATTTGGTCGGCAGGTGCAATGAACCAGCTTACGTAACGCGATCAGTTTAAAAGTTCGCGGCTTCTCTTGACCAGTTTATAATTGAGTGTTTTTCTTGGATGGGCATTGTGTCAGTCATGACAACCATTGTTATTCAGTCGTGGACTTAAAACAATACCCACTCGCCCAAAGTGCGCCATTTTCAAAGTCAGCAACCACTAGCAGTTTTCAGATCGAAAAGAACAGTGGTTCTCGTTTACCGATTTTAAAACTTAAAACGGATTCTTTTCTAGAAAGGCTCCAACTTTCTTTTCCCGCGAGTGAAAATATGAAAGCTGGTGAAAATGTTCAGAAAATCGCTGTCAAAAGTGGCGTCCATACTGAAAACGACCGATTTTTCCGGATTTTCGAGTTTAAAAAAACAGTCTTTATACTTCCTTATATTCCTCAGTCTAAGGCTTAAAGTGTTGATACATCATTGCTTTCCAAAAAGCCGTGCGTGAAAGTTAAGATTATAACTTCTGAAAAACAGAAAAGAATGTTTTACTAGCCCTACTTGACCAATTTGGGCCCTTTCTCTTCTCTTTCTGGGCTATTCAAAGCGCGCTCGCATTCAAATTTGCCGCTTCGATGACTATGAAAAATTAATGATGTCCAGGCATCCTGCGCGATGATAATGTGATCAAATGTGCATTTTTTAGGTATAATCTTAGCAGCAAGACGCTTACGTTTCCTATTTCTTTCATGATTTTACTGTAAAACCTATGTGTGTCATGTACCATCTGTTATAAATGACCTATGATCTCAAATTTACGTTTCTCTGAGAACGCGCCAGCATACGATAGCTGCTCAGAATGAGGACGTTACAAAGCAGGGTCGGCCACGGTTTTTGGGTATACGGTATACAGGGGCTTTTTAAATCGGGTATACGGTATATTGCAACTTAAATACGGGTATTCGGTATATCACTTTCTTTAAATTTCAGGTATAAAGAATACCTGGGTATAATTTTGGGTATATTTGGATGAATTTTGGATATTTTGGCGAATTTTTTTCGGGTATACTGGTATACCGCTACTCCCCCTGGCCGACTCTGACAAAGGCAATTGCAAGTTTTTACTGAGATGATTCAGAGACGGTTTTCTTAGTCTTCTTACGATCTACGTCCCAATGTTATACCTGCCAGCTTTTTCTGAGTCAAATGCGTCAGATTTTCACCTTGTTATGACCGATATTTCCGGAAACGTCCCAGCGACTTCCAAAGATTTCCGACGAATTACCGAAGACTTCCGAACGTTGCCGAAAATCAAATGTGCGCGGATGTTCTAGAAGACGTTTGAGCACTTTCGAAGCTACTTAAACACTTTTAGCGCGCTTTGACATGATTTCGTTAGAACACAAAAAAGGACACAAAGTCATCATGTGTTAAGAATAATTTATTCGGATTCAGGCGTGAGAAACTCGGCCTTGATACGTGACATCGATGACTTTAGTCCACAGGCGTAAGACTCACGCATAACGCGTATACAATATTCTGAAGGTATAATTTTGATTAGCTTAATTATAATGGTTTACAATGTTGGACTCTGGCCAGCAAAAACGTTCGAGTGGAGGAGACTAACACAAGACTTGAGTAAAGGAGGGCCACTTGAAATACTTACAATAGCAAAACTGATAAAAAGTAAGGTACTATGGCATCAGTTTTCGAATTGAAAGTTTCATTACATTATATGTGCCTTTTACGCCAACTTTAGCATCAAAAATATACAAATAACCTTCATAGTTAATCATTAATATCCATTTGACTGGCAACTGACAAAAAGCCTAAAATTTAACTGACAGCTGACAAATGGCCGAAATTTTAACTGACAACTGACATTTGTACTCCCCCATCCAGACCCTCTCGATGGTGTTTCTTAGAAAGTGTAATGGAATATCACTTACTGTACTGTTATGTATTAAAGGCATAGTTTGATATTTACTGAAGTTTCCTTTTTGAAAATTGCAAGCATACAAATTAGAGGTATTATTATTGGCATTTCTTATTAGATTGTTGTTAGCTGTTTCTAGGTTCCCCGCTATTTCATACATTGGATGGTCATCCGCGAACATATAGAGAGATCAATCAA